CGGGGCCCCCGGGCCACGGGGGCGCCGCGGGCCATGACTTTGGTCTAATTGCAGCTAGATTGCCGCAGGACTCAACCTATGAGGACTTGGCGACAAGGCCCCAGGAAACGTTAGGTTTCTCATCTAAAAAATGGGAGGTATCCGGGGAGGCAGAGGCAGGCGGATCTCTGAGTTCCAGACTAGCTAGGACTACTTAGAGAAATTCTGTCTCACAAAGCAAAAGGCAGGACCAAGTCAGGTGGGATGGCGGGAGCCTGGGCTAAATTCATTCATTTGCGGCAAGCCTGAGGAACTGAATTGGATTCCCTGGACCCACACGGTGAAGAAGAAAACTGACTCCCACTAGTGTCCTCCACATGCGCGCAGTGGCACGCGTGCCTAGATGCATACAAAGTATGTAAAATGTAAAAATAAAGTTTTTTTAAGGTCTTGTAGGACTACTTGGGACTGGTGGGATTTTTGCAAGTTCATCAGAAAAACTGGCAACTATGGCGACCCTAAAAAGCCCTCTCATATATTTACAGTTATTTCACAAATATTCACTGACTTGTCAGTGTACATGGGAACTACTGTTTGCCCATTTTCCCACCCCAAATGGAGGCAACAGGGGCATTCAGGGAAAAGCAGGGCTCTGTAGACGCCAGCCCATGAGCCTTGGGTTGCTCCTTTTTTTTTTCCCCCTCATATTTTGAGACAGGGTTTCCCTGTGTAGCCCTGGCTGTCCTGCAACCAGCTCTTTAGACCAGGCTGGCTTCAACCTCAGAGATGTGCCTTCTCTGGCTCCAGGGTGCTAGGACAAAAGGATATGTGCCACCATGCCCAGCTTGCTTCTCTTATGAACAAACAAATAATAGGGCATACATAATGATACACTCCTTTAATCCCAACATTGGAAGTGGAGGCAAGAGAATCAGAAGTTCAAGGTCATCCCTACCAATAAAATGAGTTTGGAGACCAGCCTGGGATACATGGCACACACTGCCTTAAAAAAAAAAAAAAAAAAAAAAAAAAAAAAAAAAAAAAAAAAAAAAAAGTCAGGAGAGTTTTTACTCATCCAAGGTTTCATTTCAGAGTGGAGGATCCAGGTTCTCAGTACCAAAAAAGTACATGGGTGTTGAGCCAGTGGCTTCTACTGTGATGAGCCATATCTCAAGACACACAGGCCCAATCTGCCTCTACCTTTCAGATGACAAACTGTGCAGCTTCTTGATGCCAGGCCCTACTCCAGGACCTGGACAGAGCTGAGGGGACATAGATTTCTCTCACTCCACACCTCTTGATGCCAGGCCCTACCCCAGGACCTAGTCAGATCTAAGAGGGGACATAGAGATGCCTTTACCCCATGCCTTCGCCTTCTCTTTACAAATGATGAAGCTGAGACACAAAGCCAGTTTCAACACCATACAGCAAGCTAGGAATCAGTATATGTTCCTGTTGTCCTGTCTAGCTCTCCAGCCACACCCCATCACCTTTCTGGGGTTTCCCTATCTGCCTTCTGACAACCGATCTGGTCCAGGAGACAAGACTGCCTTTCCTTTCCTGCGCTCAGCCTGTGCTGGCTGCTCTGGAGGAAGTGGCCTTATTTCACCAGTAGGTCCCATGTAGAGAATGCTACTGGAGGTTGGAGCAGGGTCCTCAGAGGCCAGGAGGCTTGCTGTCCCCTAGCTCACCCTCCATGAATCATTGTCACCATAACCCCATTGGGAATACCTACCATGCTTGTTTTTCTTCTGCTCCTCCTCCAGTCCTGGCACACCAGGGATGCCCAGGAAGGTGTTGTGGGAATTTCCATACCACACCAGCAGTTCCTGGTCTGGAGGGATCATCTGTAAGGAGAGAGACAAGAGGAGGTCAGGGAGGTGGCCACTGTCAGCAGAAGGTAGGGGTGTCTGCACACCCAGCCCTGAGAAAGCCAAAGCTGGTGCTATCCCAGTGAACTATCCCAGACAAACTGTGTAGGCATTGAAGGCCCCTGGGCATTGTCCCCTGTGCTCCCCTCTCTTTGCCCAGGTCATCTTATCATTTCTGTCCTAGCTTCACCACACAAAAGCATCCAAATTGATAGCCACAAGAAAACAAACGAAAAAGAACTCAGGAGCTGAGGAAGTGGCTTGGTTGCTGAATGCTTGCTTAACATACACAAAGGCCTGGACTAGATCCCCAGCTCTGCATAAACCAGTCCTGAAAGTCACTGCCATCCCAGCACTGAGGTGGTGGCAGGACCATCAGAAGCTCAAGGTCATCCATGGTCATGTAGACAGTTTGAGACCAACCTGTAACACATGAGACTCTCCAAAAAAAAAAAAAAAAAAAAAAAAAGAGGGGGAAGGCTCACAAGCAGAAGTGACGTGAAAACCTAGAATTATATTTTTCATTTTCTTTAATCCAGGGGAATTAGAGTCAGCCATCTCTCAGGGTCATATGACTGAGCCAGATGTTTCCAAGGAGTGTGGGCTGCAGGTGCCCTATGGCTACACCCTGCCTGATAATGTTCCAGAAACAGCTCTTACCCCAAGCGCCCACAGGCAGCATGGAGTCATACATACTTCTCTTCCCAGCACAAGGCTCTCTGCAGGACTCCATGCACATGGCAGGTGCTAAAAAAGAAACCTTGGGCTTGACAAACACCTACATCTCTGGAAATACCAAGACAGCCTTAAACAAAATGGTTCTTAGTGTCCTAGGTCCATCATCAAGAAACACAGAGCAGCCGGGTGGTGGTGGCACACACCTTTAATCCCAACACTTCAGAGGCAGAGGCAGACAGATCTCTGTGAGTTTGAGGCCAGCCTGGTCTACAGAGTGAGCTCCAGGACAGCCAGGGCTGTTACACAGAGAAACCCTGTCTTGAAAAACAAACAAACAAACAACAAAAAAGAAAACAAAAAAGAAAGAAACCCAGAGCTGATGACCAGCCAGGCTTGGCTGCTCGTAAGAGAATGATGATGGCTACTGACCAAGAGACTGTGGTGGTGACAATCCAAGGGAGCTGGAAAGGCTGCTCTCTGAACCCTAGCCAAGAAGAATAAACAGGAGAGACAGCCCATCTCTCTACTGAGGCCCACCTGGCCCTCCCTAATGCTAGCCACAACTATTAGAGGTCACTGTGTGAGATGCCCAGAGAAACTCAGACAGCACCTAACAACAGCTTTGTCCTTCTGGAGTTCTCTTTTAGCAGAGGCACAGGGGATCACATGGGGGCTGGGAGGATAGCTCAGTGAGGAAACATTTGCCTTGTAAGCTCATAAGGTTGAGCGCCAGGCCCAACTGAAAAAGCTAGGCTTGGTGGTATACACTTGTAATCCCAGTACTGGGGAGGTAGAGATAGATTCCTGGAGTTCACTGGCCAGTCAGTCTAGCCTAACTGCCAAGCTCTAAGCCAGCAAGAGATCTTTTCTCAGAAAAAACAAGATTTCTGGTTGATGTCTGGTCTACACACTCATACACACATACAACACAAACACAAACACTCACACCATACAACACACACATACACACAAACAATACAAGCACACATACATACATACAACACAAGCATATACACACACAAAGAAATCACATGGTATTCCACCCATGAGTGTCTGAGCCACCCCAGAGTAGTGGTCAAGAGAGTTTCCTCCCCTTTCACGTGAGCCTGAGAGCCTCAGGTTCACCTTCCATGGAGAGAGCCCAGAAGACCCCCAGATCATCCTCTAGTCTCCAAAAGGAGAGAGGAGGGAAGGGCAGGAAGCTGCATGTGTCTCGGCTGCTCTTCCCCTACTGAGATTCAGTCTATGTCCCTTCACACCAACCCATAGCCACGGTCATCACAATGGCTCAGCAGCATGTGTGTGGCCAGTTCCCCTCTGAGGTTAAATATGGAAAACAAGGATGATCTCTTCTAAACACAAGAAAAATGACACAGTGTCTCAAAGATATCAGGCGGCTTAGAATCTGACACTAATCCTGAAGTCCTTTAGCCTCTCCTTACTGATCATGGTCACCATCCAAGAGCCCAAAGGGCCAGAGCTGAAGGTCTCTTCTTGAAGAAGAGGAGATAAGAAAGGTCTGTGAACCTCTCAAAGATGTTGATGGTGGCATTCAAGTATTTCAGATATTGATTGGGAAAGAGGCTACTGTACAAGATGGAGCTCATGTCACCAGGCCCCTGTATGACCTTAGGCAGTCTCTAAGCATGTCCCTTGAAGGCAACCTCTAGGCCACCTGCACATACCCTGTAAGAGGTGGGCTACAGAGGGCCCTAACGAGCCCTGGAGTCTGGGATGTTGGGACCACTCAGGCTCTGTACCTGCCAAGCCAGTGTCACTCACTCAGCCTCAGTTCTTTCAATTGTAGAACAGAACAAACAGTCCCTATTTTACAGGCCTCCCTGATAGTTGTTGGGAAACAGGAGCACAAGTACAAAGCTCTCTGGACCATGAAGCTATGGAATTGCTGCTGACTGTTTTCCTCCCTTGCCAGTCCCCCGGAGGAACTGGCAGTGATCTGGGCACCCTGAGTCACTGCAGTAAAGCCTAGGGCCGCTGGCAGGGTGGAGGTCCACCTGTGACTAAGCCCAGGCTCCAGGCTGGGGTTGTGCCTCAGTGCCTGGAGTGCTTACATGGGATGTATGAAGCTCTGGGTTTGGACCTTAGCTCCACTCAGCACTCACACCTGTAATCCCAACACTGAGGAGGTAGAGGCAGGAGGACCAGAAGGTCAGGGTCATCTTCACCTAAATAGTGAATGGCCAATCTTAAGACCAGCTTCGGCTACATGAGATCATGTGTCTCAAAAATAAGTAAGTAGGGCCTGGAATGGTGGGTTGGCAATTAAAAGTACTGGCTGCTCTTCCAGAGGACCTGGGTTCAGATGCCAGCACTCACATGGTGGTGGTACACAACCATTAGTGACTCCAGTTCAGGGCCTCTGACACACTCTCCTGGCTTCTGAGGACCACAGGCACATATGTGGTACACATGCATACATGCATGCATAATACACATACACATATAATAAAATAAATGTTTTGAAATTTAATAAATACTAATAATTTTATTCAGCTTAAACAAATCACACTTCATGGGAATAAAGGTCAAACTGTGCCACAGGGTAAATAATGGGAAATTTCTCTCTCCTGCCCTGATGCCCAGCTGTTGCCTATGCCTCTCTGGGTGTGTTTCCCCCAAAACGAGTCATTCTGAGACTTTGAAAAAAAATGCTTATTTAGGCTTTAAAAGAGTAACATGAAGAGACAGTGTGACTTCTGGTTTTATAAGATCTACTTTAAAAATGAGCATATAGGGGCTGGAGAGAAGGCTCAGCAATTAAGAGCACTGATAGCTCTTCTGGAGGACCAGGGTTCAATTTCTAGTACCTACATGGCAGCTCACAGCTGTCTGTAACTCCAGTTCCAGGAGAACTGGCACCATCACACAGACATACATTGCAGGTAAAACATAAAATTCACATAAAATAAAAATAGTTTAAAAAATAAGCATGTATTAGTCGGGCATGGTGACACATGCCTTTAATCCCAGCACTCAAGAAGCAGAGGCGGGTGGATCTCTGTGAGTTTGAGGCCAGCCTGGTCTACAGATCAAGTTCCAGAACAGCCAGGACTACAGAGTGAAACACTGTTTCAAAAAAATGGGCGTGTATCACTTCTATACATATGTAACAGTGACAACAATCATAAGTTTTTCAGGAAAGGAAGCCTACTAAATACAATGTACTGGAATTGGTAATGAAATATCCTGACAGCTAGAGGCTACAAGAAGTAGGAGAGGCCCATGTCTTCTTCACAGAGAAACAGGACTGAGAGTTGCTTTGACCTTCAGAGCCTGGAACCCCCTCCCCACCTCTGGTCTCTACTTACTAAATACTAAAATGAATTTTATTCACCTTGAAAAGTAAAGCTCGTGGACATAAAAAGAAAAAAACAAACAAACAAACAAAAAAACCCACTGTGCCATAGGGTCAATGACGGGGAGCTACTCTCTCTCCTGCTCTGGATGCCCAGCTGCTGCTGCCCTCTGGGTGTGTCTGGCATCCAGCAAAAGCCTGTGTTGGAGCCCAGGTTACCCCATAACTTATACCCTCTTCTCTGAGACCTTGGAAGTACTGTGCAAGACCTCCTCAGTGCACTGGACAGCCACAGTCCCCTGAAGACCCTTCGCAGACACTGTTCCTACTGAGTTAACCTGGTCTAGGCTGGAAGGGCTGGGAGTCCAAATAACTGGTCATTCATGTTTCTGGTTTGGGACATGCCACAAAGCAAGCAATCACCAAAGGAATTGATCCCCATTTCATAAAATTCACTCTGTCAAGCCTAGGGAAACAGCATTACCTGATTCCCGCTGACAAGCCTCCCGACCTCTCGGCTAGTTCTTAATGTTTGTTCTTCCTTCGTTCCTTAACTCTAGTCCTGCCCCATTTCAGTGACAGAATGGCAATGACAGGCTTTCAGGTTTGCTTTCCTAATACAAATTCATGACACCCCATTGAACACGCTCCTGGGAGGCTCTGACACCTGCCCTTTCCCAGAGTGACACAGAAGCATCTCTGTGTCATCTGGATGATCATCAGTTTCCATTGTGCGCAGATGTCCTGACACACCAATTAATAGAGTCCCAACAAGAAGATGCTGGCTGGGGAGGCCACACAGCACGGCCATCCACACTCTAGATCTGCAGCAGATGGGGCTGGGGTCCAAGTCACAGCTCCAGAGTCTTTCCAAACTTGGACCTTCATTTCTTCATCATTAAAATGGGGTCGGTCCAGTAATAGACGACCTATTCAGTATGTATAGGCCCTGGGTTCAGTCTATGGAACCGTGAGAAAAAGTAAGTAAGCCATGGGTTCGGTCCCCACTACAAAAGCAAAAAGTTGCTAAGGCCCTTTGAAAACATTGTCGGTGTAGTGTCGGCACATGAGAAATGCTCCAGGTAGCATCATTAATGTCTAATGACAGTAATCATCAGAGCCACTACTGAGCAAGGTCAAAAGGAAAATTGTGCTGATCCTCCAAGTTGAGAAAAGAGATGAGGATCTAGGAAAAAATAAAAGGCTCAGCTGCCCTGAGACAAGAAGAAACGAGAAAGCCCTCATTTCAGGGCAACCATTTGCCAATACAATACAATGAAGCAGAAGAAGGAAAGACTGGAGATTTTCTTCCCATTGTAAAACACCCAGTGTTAGTGTGATAACAGATTCCTCAAGCCTTCACTTGTGACTGTCTCTTGAGCAAATCTCTTGATTCCTCGGTGAGCAAGTTTTGTTTTCCTGGAAAAGTGGATCCCTGTGGATACCCCATCACCCAGAGAAAGATTTATTTGTTTAATATTTAGTATAACCTTGCTTTCTGCTGGGTGCCTTTTGCAAATGCCATTTGAGGCCCCTGAGGCAGGACAGAGTGAGTGTCCAGGCAGAAGCAAAGCCAGAAGGCTGCAAACCTCCAGTCCCCATCTTCTCAACCTGGAATGCTGAGTTTGTGGCTGTACTCTAGTGCTGGCCTGAGTTCCCAAACCCAGTCACCTTTGTCTCCGTGACTTTATATTTGTGGAATGTTCTAGAACAGCGATAGTGTATTCTTCCTATTGAAGAGAGACAATTCCCCCTGCATTTTGGCAAGTAATGGGTTACTGTTATGAACTATAAATAGTGCTTGTGAGTGGCAGGAAGACCAAGTAAACAGATCGTGGCAAAGGTCCCTCTCTTTGGCTAACAGCTCCTTCTGCACACACACACACAGAACAAATAGCTGATTATTCAAGACTTCCCAGGAGCCGCCTGGGTGAGCAGAAATATGTCTGGTCACACCCGGACATATAAGTGGAATTCTGACATGGTTATAAAATTATTTGAGTGAGTTGCTGCTATGAAAAAATGTATCCAACTTTAATTATGGAAAATAATTTGGGGCTAGGTATGGTGGTGATTGAATGTCTTTGATCCTAGCACTTGAGAGGCAGAGTCAAGCATATCTCTGTGAATTTGAGACCAGCCTGGTCTACATAGTGAATTCTATAGGACAGCTAGGGCTACATAGTAAGACCCTGTCTCAAATTTTAAAAACAATTTTTTGTTTTTGTTTTTGTTTTTTTCAAGACAGGGTTTCTCTGTGTAGCCCTGTCTGTCTTGGAACTTGCTCTGTAGACCAGGCAGGCCTAGACCTCAGAACTGCCTGTCTCTGCCTCCCAAGTGCTGGGGTTAAAGGTGTGTGCCACTACCACACTGCAAAATAACAAAAAAAATAAAATAAACAAAAGAAAGACAAGTAATTTGGAAATGTTTTGTGTTACCTTGTGCCTCATTTAAACAGCCCCTTCTTAGCAGGATGGTTCACTCTAAACACTATGAGAAGCACATGTATTCATCATACGTGTGATAATGTGTGTGCTATATAGATGAGTGTGTATGGCCCATTCTTTCATAAACTTAAATTTCTGAAAACATAGATGAACTTTTTCTCTTAATCACACAAATTCCAACCCCTCCCTAGAAATATTCCTTACTCTCTTTGTCCCCTGAATTCATACTTCTACTTCTGGATAAATGTCATTCACATGTCCTGATCTGACTTCACCAGTCTGATCTGATGTGTCTAGTATGATGGGATCAGGTCACCTGTCTGCCCCAGCTGGGAGCCTGAGTACCAACATGACATAGACATTCTTGGCCAGTCTCCTATGTCTGTGTTTGTGTGTGTGTGTGTGTGTGTGTGTGTGAATCTGTGTATATATGACTGTGTGTGTGTGTGTGTGTGTATGTGATTGTGTGTCTAAATGTATGAGCATGTGTGTGTGTATGTGTGTGTGTATGTGTGAATCTGTGTACGTATGAGTGTGTGTGTGTGTGTGTGTGTGTGTGTGTGTGTGTGTATGAGTGTGTGTGTGTGTAGGAGAGTGTGTGTATATGTGTTTGTAGTAGGTGTGTGTCTGTGTGTGTGTGTGTGTGTGTGTGTGTGTGTGTGTGTGTGTGTGTGTGTGAAGGTGTATATCTGTGTGTGTTAGAAAGACAGAGGGGTAAGGACTCAAGGGGATGTACTTAACTATGAGAGAGTTCAACTGCTACAAAAGCCCATTCTAGGAGGTGGCAATACAGTTGAATGGTCACAGGAGTCATGCTGGTCTTGCCTTAGCTACCTCTGTTACTACACTGACACTCCTCAGCCCTCCAACTCTTCTGATGAACTCCAGCGGCCGATCTGCCTGTCTTTCCTTACTCTCCACTCCCTGGTCTTCCTTGAGTTAACATTCTACTGTGACCCAGGTCCTGGCCACACAAGGCCCAGGCAAAGGCTATTCTGCCACCACCCCTGTCAAAGTCCCAAGGGTGTGGTCATTCTGGAAAAAATCTAAGAGTTAAGTCCAAGAAGCTAGCAGGCCTGAACACACAGAAGAGTCTTGAGTTCAGTCTCAAAGTCTTTGCCAGTAAATGGAGTGTGGCTAGAAAGAAAGTTGTTCTCTAACCAAGCCCCTGATCCTTGCCCCACCAAAGGACTTCGAAAGCAAGTTAGCAAAAGTGCAAAATCAAGAAAAATGCAGTGGGACAGCTCTGCTATCCCTCACACTCACATCCAGGGCAAAAAGACACAACGAAACTGCATGCCAAGAGACCCTGTTCAAAGAACACTGCTGATGTGCACGGCCTCAGCTACCACTGCTCCCTCTCTCACCACCTTCTCTGATGCCTCCAGCCTTTCTGTTTCTGCCAGGCATCTCCTACCTTCAGGAGTGCCCCCTTTCTCTTCCCAGAACCTGGTCCACTTTAGAAGACTCCCATACCTCATGCCCCCCAGGCTTTCCTCAGTAACGTGTGTGTGTGTGTGTGTGTGTGTGTGTGTGTGTGTGTGTTTTCAAAGCTCTAGGCCACCAAGCAATGACAGGTTTCTGTATCCACAAACTGTGGATAAACGCAAGATCCTCCTTGTGTGAGGGGCAGCACGTGGGAGGCTTGATACAGTGAGCTATTGCTGAGGCAAAGCCCTGAGGCACCCACAACTGGCCACCATATATGCAGAATGAGGGATGACACACAGCTAAGCCTTCATGGACATACAGCCTTTATCATCATACCTAAGTGCAGCACCAGCCTGCTTCCACTTGGTGTCTTGCTTTCTATACTGTTCTACGTTTTGAACCCCTGCACACTCTCCTCTATGTTCGATTTATTTACCACAGCAGCAAATTGCAAGCTCCATCTTCTCCCAGCTATATCAGCAAGCTTTCCATACAGGACATATTCCTGGCAATCGTGGCACATAAGTCTCAGCCCTACACCCAGGCAGAGCCAGCTGGGCCAGCACCAATGTTTTTCTGTCTTCTTTGGTCACAAGACACAGCTTTTGCACATTCCTCACCATGACATGCCTGCATCTGTCCCTATGTAACAGTACATGTGCATACCTCTATGGCCTTGTAGAAGATGCTGGTACCGATCTGTACCACCTCCAGGTTCTGCTCCTGCTCATTCCTGGCACACTTGATGTAGGTCATCCAGCTTCGGTGGTCTTCCTGGCTGGCATCGATGAAGTAGCGTACCGTGCCATCCTCATTGAATACCTAGGCACAAGTGGAGCAGTGATGGGGTGAGGCAGGGCTGTGTTACATATGTGATCCAGGCCAGACTCATCTGTAGACATTCTCCTTTCTCCCAAAAGCTCAAACCACACCCTAACTTTCTGACTGGGTAACAGCTGAAAGACACACACTAAGCCCAGGTGTCCAGGGTAGAGAGAAAGCAAGATCTGGGGTCATCTCTCTGTCCCTCCAGTTCCTCGGAACAGCTGTACAGTGTCACACTGAGCTTCTGTCAGGTGGGGCTGCTAGGGTGGCAGCAGGGGACGCAATGAGATTGAGAAGTAGGTGTACCATCTGGCTTCTGTGAATGTGCAGGTCTGTGGGGGAAGAGCAATGGAAGAGGGGTACTCCTGGGCCGGCTTTGTCCTAAGGGGGACACTCCCTGGTGGCTGACATTGTTGGAGGTGGGTAGAGTCAGAAAGCCAGACATGGAAGCCTTTCAGATACTCATTTCCTTCTGCAAAATGAGAAGAATGACCCACAGGGCTGAGGAGATGAGCTCACAGTTTGCAGGCTGGAGAATGAGACTGCTGACTCAACACGCAGTCAGCCATGGTTATTTTGGATGCCACTAGGCCTGGAATTGGGAAAGCTATTCTCAAGAAACACCCTGCTTCCACTGTCCTCCATTCCAGCCTCACTTCACCATAGGCCAGCCTCAGAGACCCACCCTTGTTGCCTCCAAGGCCAGGGAAAGAATGTGGGTAGCTTGGAGAAGCCCAGTCTCTGCACCAGACGCCCCCACCCCAGTACTCAGCACCACAGGACACGTGAAGGATGGCTAATAGCTTTGCTTAGGAAGCCTGGAATCAAGAAGGGTTAGATTTTCCCCACGGCAATCAAAAGGGAAAGAACCACAGTAGAGAAAGCTGCAGGACAAGAGAGTGGTGCCCCAGAGAGGGTTCCACCACTCCAGAACTGGGGCTCTGGCATCAGTGGATACAAGCCCTAGGGAGCCAGCCCACCTGCCCACCCGAATCCTTCTCCAAAGCTCGAGCCTACCTCCCACATCAGGTTGTTGTTCTTGCAGATATCCACATGCTCTGGGGCAATGACACGGCCAGTGAAGGGACCCATCTCCGTGCCTGCCTTGATCCACGTCTTGGAGAAGATGCCAAGGCCCTCGCCAGGGATGGAACTCTGAGCTATGATCACTTCCACCGGCAGCACCAGGCTGGACAGCTTCTGCACCTCTGCGCAGGGATGGGAGTGGTGGGGGTAGTTAGAAGAACCCGGTCTTGTATGCACAGAGAAGGCCCTACCCTTCTCATCCAGGACGCATTCTCCCTGCTCAGCGCACAGGCAGCCCCATCACAGCGAATCTTTCCAGTGGCGCGCTATACGCAGAGGTTCAGCCTTATTTTGCAACCCAAGACCCTCTGTGCCTTCTAAAAACAAGCAGTGCATCGTGGTTCATTTGTTTCTCTTTTGGGCGGAGAATTACTGGGGGATCGAACCCGAAGCCTTGCGTATGAAGCGCTCTGCCCCGAGCTGTATCTATCATCAGCCCTTGGGGCTCTCCACAAATTCTCCAAACATCCACAAACCTTCACCACTTTCCATCGCGGAAAAGCTTAAGAACAAGTGAAACCGCGTTGTGTTTACAGACAGGGAAACTGAGGCCGGGCGAAGAGGTAACGTCCAACCCGGGACTCTTCAGTCAGCCTTGTTTCTGCCTCTTGAGCTGGTGACTCTGGGCTCACTGCGTGTCTCCCGGACGCGGTCAGCACTGGGGACAGATCCCCCAGCTTGGAAGGTGGCATCCTCGCAAAAGAAACACTTGGTTCTGCAAACTGAACTCTCGGTGTCATCTCCCACTGGCAAGCCAGTGTCCCTCTCTGATTCCAGGCTCTAGAGTGCCAGGGAAGGCAGCACCAAGATCAGGCGAGCTCTGAAATCGCCTTAATGGGCGAGGAAGAGCCAGTGGTCCCTAGTCCCCAGAGGATCCCTGGTGGGGCCTCTGCGGCAGGGGTGGGAGCGGCGAGGCGCACAGGGGCGGCCTCCATGTCTTACAAGGTTCCCCTCTAAGCTACCTGGGAAAATACCCGGCGAGCCGGCCGGCTGAAAGGGGGGGTTAAACGGTGTCCATTGCGGAGCGGCCGGCAATTTGTCACGCTGTTAAAGTGATCGCATTCATTCGGCTCCATTCGAAAGAAATTGCTAATTCTAAATTCATTAGCCCTGGAAGAAAGCTGTAGCAGTAAATTGTATCTCAATGCGGAGGGGACTTGTTTAAAAGGGGCCGAGGAATTCTCCTTACAAAAAGGGAGGATTAGATGGTTGACATAGCGTGAATGGAAGTGGAATTAGTCTTCACGGTAAATTAAGAGAGGAACAGCAATCTTAAAGGGGAAGAGAGGGCGACGCTCAGAGACGCCAGCGCTGGGGAAAGATATTGTTTGCGGGGTGACGAATGAGGAATAAGAACTTGAGACATCTTAAAGAAAAGGAACTTTCCTCGCTCTCTTTCTCTCCCTCGCTTTCTCTGGCTTTTTCTCTCCGGCCTGCCCGCCCTCCGCCCCTTCCCCGGCCCCGGCTGTCTTTTAAAGTTTTTGGTTTAAGTGGGAACTTTCGCGGGTCAAGCCCAAGTTAACCAAATGAATTTAAAACCCGTTCTTTTTGAGTCAACTGCTATTACACGCCCAGTAAGGCTTTCAATGCCAGGAAACCTCGAGCTCCTAGCTGGAGGGTGGGGTGGGGAGAGAAGACACAGAAGAGTCTAGCTGTAGGTCGTCTGGGTCGCTGGGATTTAGTTCTAGGGCGCCCGACATTCCTACTGCCTCCGCTCTGCTTCTGTGTGGCTGCTGCAGCCCAAATTTGACCCACAGTAAAACTAAGGTGTGCCGACTGGGGAGGGGGAGCATCCAGGTTGAGAGCTGAACCCCCAGGCCCTGTGTTCCCTATCTGGCCACCGCCGCTAGCCCGGGAATTAGGGGTAGCCAGGAAGAGCGAAGGAGAAGAGCCCCGACAGCGCGACTCACCTCCTGAGAAGGACTGCGCCAGGACTTCGGCGGTGAAGGCAGTCTTTGGGCTGGCGTGGTGGCTCTTGTCCTCGAGCAGCTGTTCGCCTAGTACATTGCGCCATCGGCCGTATAAGAAACTGTGCAGAATGTCGGAGGTGATGACCTCCGCCAGCGCCAGCCCCGGAGCCTTCAGCCCTGTTTTGAGCACCAGGGCCTCAGCTGGGAGCACGGAGCCCATCATGGGCGGCCAGGGGCTCGCCGGCGCTGCAGAAGGACGGCTGGGTGGACTTCGGAGAGGTGGGCAGCGAAGAGGGAGACGAAAGGAGTGCGACACAGCACAACACGAGGGAGGAGAAGGAAGAGAAGGATGCACTAGGGAGTGAGTGGCAAGAGGGTGGCGGGAAGGAAAGTGAACCAAGCGGGAGATACACAAAATCCGCAGAGATGGTTGAGGCGGCACAGAGGGCTGGAAATCGCGGGTGGAGACAGGGGCGGGTACCAGGAGGGGTGCGGGATGGATAGAGGCGGGTGGCTGCAGAAAAACACCGACCAAGGGCTCTCGGTTGCCCACTCGCCTCCTGTACATCCAGCCAGGACCGTCCTCCCCTTGGCAAAATCTCAGCTCCTTTATAGGAGCCGCAGTGACCCTCCTAATTGGTTATTAATGACCCCCTGACGTCGAAGGACAGACTTCTACCCGGCCAGGCTCGAAGGAGCCTTCACCGACAGCGCGAGGGGCGGGGGCAGTGCGGACCGCTCAGAATAGTCCCCCTCTGCTCCTCCCTCCCCTCCGATCCTTCCTCCTCCCCCTCCTCCTCCTCTCCCCGTGGGAAGCTCCAGGCAGGGAGGGAGTCTCAGCCCGCGGCCGGGAGAGGAGGGGTTGGAGTAGGGCTGCGACGCAGCGAGGCTCGCCTATACTCCAGGGGCTAGACAGAGCAAGAGGGGACACATGACTGCGAGCCCTGAGTGCCTCCTCCCGCGCCCACCTGTCCCAGGCAAGATCCGCGGTCACTAAGGGTCCCGGCCAGGGCTTCACCTTCCTAGCACTGAACTGCAGGCAGTGTGCTGTTCTCCTTGACCAAGCCCAGTACTGCCGGGTTCCCATTTCCTCCTCGCCCCCACCTCCGGGGCCCTGCTCTCTTAGAAGCTTCACGCCCTAGGCTGCCACAGTAACCAGGAGCCAGTGGCTCCTGCTCGGGTGATGCAGATCTCTTGCGCCAGCAGAGCTACCCACGCCGGTCGGCTTCGATTCATTCGATTCAAACCGGGCTCCCCAACTGCTCTGCGAGCAGAGCGCAGCCAGCACATGGGGCTAGTGAGGCAGAACCACCGACTTCGCCATCGACGCTGGAGCCCACGCAGGATGGCTCCCAGCCTTAGGAGTACTTAGTTGGGGTGGGGGATAGTGAAGGGCCGACCCACTTCCACGCTTGCTACTAGATACTCACATTCGTGGGATACCCTGGATCAGTGTAAGGTGGGAATTGCAGGGACCCAAACCCAATGCAGGCCGCCCGGTGCAAACCCATCTGCTGGACTCTTGCTTTCAAATCCAGCTACAGGAAATCGCCAGGCGTTCCTCTTTCCTTTTGGTCTCCTAACGATCATTCTTTCTTTCCTGGCTCCCTTCTCTTCCTTCCTCCCCCTTCCCACCACCCCACCTGCCCCAACAGTAGATTCTGTATAGTCTTTCCAAGGCACCTGGGAGCCAGCTCCACACCTCTTCCGAAACAGTTGCTAAGTCGGGAAGACAAGGGCTTCATGTGTGCATTGAAGCCTCCTGGACAGCCTCAAGATTTCCTCCTCCAGCTCCAGAAACAACCACATTGGAGGGCACTGGGGATACCCCGGCCCCCCGTGCCGCTGCAATTTCAGATGTCGCTATGGAAAGTTCTGCAGCCTGCAGGCTAGTGTGAGTTCTTGTGTTAAGTCTCCACTGGGTAGCGAAGACTCTTCAGGCCTTTGAGGCCCTGGGACTTGGGCGTGGGTAGTGCTGCCAGAGCAGGACTGGGACTTGAACCCTTTCCACCAGCAGCTCGCCAGCTGCCTCGCTCCTGGCAGCCAGGGAATCTCAGATCTCTGTAACCCTAGTTGGAGCCAGTGGTCTCTGGCATCCTCAGCCTGGCAGTCGGGAGACTAGAGCACCAAAGCGGCAGCGATAGAATATCTTCAGATGCTGAACCCCTAGAGCCCAGAGGAAAGTGGGTATACCGGGCTGGGAGAGGGACCAACGGGCAGGGCGCCAGCAGAGGGCAGCGCTGCAGAGGAGCAAGTGCTGCCGGTGGGCTGGGGTTTCTTACAGATACCGCCGGTGAGTTAAATCGGCTCATGGAGTGTTCCAGTCAGACTGGAGAATGGAATCCAATGTCTCGGTGGCAAGGGAACCTGACCGGCGCCTGGATCTTGGCTTCTGTGAAGCCTAGGTAGAGAGGAGACTGAGCTGGACAGAATGCCAGGACGGGGTGCTCAGCTTCCAAACCCGGAGCCTACCTCTGCGCTTGCGGGAGACTAACTGGGAATGAGGACGGCAGACCATCCTGAGGACAGCCCTTCTCTTCTCTGAGCCTCTTAGTTCTTGTCGACAGTGGTTTAAGTTGGACTGTGTGTTAAGGTTTCATCCCAACCTGTCACCCTTCTGTTCCGGTGGCTTTCCCTGGAGCTGCAGAGGATTTTTAACAATTCCCTCGCCACATTCTACTGTGAAAAGCTCCCAGGTCCCAAGATCGAAGTCAAAAGACAAAAGGACCGAAGGCTCAGGCTGTGACCATGGTCCCATTACTTTCCTTAGGATCCCCAGAACCTGCGGAGAATGTGCTGGAGGAGGACGGGAGCCAAAGCAACCTCCTGGCTGGGACGCATCTGACTGGGATGTAGTCGCTGCACTCTGAGCTTCTGGCTTAGTGATAGACCCCACCCTGGCCCCATGCTCTCCCAAAATCAAACCCTGTAGGGAAGACAGCCCACCGGGAGCTGACAGCAAAGACCCTGAGCTTGCATCTTTCTGCTTGGAGACTTCGAGGGGGAAACGCTGCGAGTTCACAGTGGATGAACCGCGTCTCTGGAACCCAGGCGCCGAGTGTGCCTGCGCGAAGACCCCTCCCCTGGACTCGGCAGGGTCGGAGCTCCAAGGCGCCGCCCCCCCTCCGCCCCCTCGATCGCGCCCGTGAGCTGCCGCTAGCTCAGCGATCTCTTTAATATTCATGGGCGTTAATAGAGAGGCCCTCAGTATATCGGCCCATTGTGGGAGGCTCGTAGGGCTTGAATAGACCCTGGCCCTCTTTCTTCACAGAGGCTTCCCGAGGGGCCGGGCCAGGAGTGAATGGCCCTGCTTCCCGCTCCTCACCCACCCCCCACCCCCTTTTCAGGGACAACATCTTTATCCCCGCTGCCGCCGCCGCCGCCGCTGCCCGAGTCCCATTCACTCGGCCCAGGCTTCGGGCGGAACGAATCAATCGGCCGCGGCTCTTCGGAGGTCATCCCCGCTGCCCGTGCCCCACCCCCAAGTCCTCGGGAGTGGGGACAAGGGAGGAAGCAGCCGGCCAAGAGACCCAAGAGCTAAGGGACCCCAAGTAGAGTATGGAAGGACAGAGCAGTATCGGGTGGGAACGATCAGAAGAGGTGACTGGCCCAAGGTGCACCAAGAGGGTCTCAGAACCCAGCAGCCGGCAGGGCCCGGCTAATTCCAACTTGTTGCCTCTGGCAGAGAGCCCAAGGGACCAGGGCAGTGGTGCGAGCCGGGAGATAAGTCCCACATCCCCTCCAGTAGCCAGCTCTCATCCCTTCGGGTTCAGCATCCGCAACCTGGAGACCAGGAGCACCGGGAGCAGCCCGCTCTGGTCCAGCCCGAGGGTCACGTCGTCGGTTCCTCTCGGTGCAACTGGGCTTTGCTCCTGGATGCCCAGATTGGGCCAGCTGTTTGCATCCGGACCACGGCAGCGGCAGCGTAGGCCAAGTTCCAGCTCCTGCGGGAACGCCGGGTGTCTAGGCCCTAGTCCCCAGGGCGGGAGTCTGTCAGGCGGGGCCACCTCGATGGGTCCCTGCCCCTCCCGTCCTGGAGGTCCTATGAGAAAAGAAGCCCATTGTCTGCAGAGAAATACATTTTGGGGGCCCTAGAGAAAGCTCCCGTTTTGAACTTTAGAAGAAAGTCTTCTGCCCTTGCCCCTCGCAGGGAGAGATTTGTCCTCGCCTGCCACCCCCACCCCGGGCCTCGGGCCTCGAAGCACCGCCTCTTCCCAAAACATCTGCCGGGGGAAAATCCACCCTGGAGGGCAGATCGCACTGGCTTTAAGCCCTGAGAACTCATTAAAAAGATATTAGCAGCGGGGGCAGGTCCCGCGCAGGTATCGATCGACCGGACTGAGCCTGAGGGTGGGTGGGGGGGGTGGGGGAACAAGAAAGCGAAGAATGCGACGGATCTGTGTCCGGAACCCCCACCTGGGCCCTGCCTTATGCTGTCCAGCCCTGTGGCTGGGGACTGGCCCCTGGCTCTGGCTGAGGAGCCTCCTGCTGCTCCCGAGTTGCCTTTGGCCATCCTGGCCATTGCAGCCACCCGGGCTCGGGCTCGACAGTTCTGCTAGCTCTCTGCCCGTAGCTTGTAGCTCGAGGCACTCCCCCACTCCGCCCCTTTCGTTCTCGCTTCATCCCAGCCTTCAGGTCGGGGCGCGCCTCTGTCTAGCACAGCTCAGCGCTCCCGCCTTTCTCAAATCCTTTAGGTTTCCCCCACCCCAGGGTTTCTCTCTTGCTCTCCTAGTCTGTTTGTCTCCTCTCCATCCTCACCGTAGCCTAGCAGAGGCTCTTTTTATAGGGGTCCAAGAGTACCCCCATCCCCTGTTCCCGTAGCTCCAGGGCGCCCCCGAGGGCGTGGACAAAGGCGCAATGGACTACCCAAGTCGGGTGGGAGCCCTTGCAGCAGGGGTATCTTCAACAGACGTGACTGGAGCGAGCTGGGCCTGGCCCTCTGAGGGTCGGTTGTGGAACAAAGATGGTGGTCCCCCTTCCAGTCCTATCTCCGTCCTAACTAATTAGCCTCTGAGGCCAGTGAGAGACAAAGGAGAGCCCCGAGCTGGTGCCTGGGCTCATGACAGGTGACTGTCATGAGCTAGATGGCTTTTTTCTCAGAGCTTCCGGACCCCCATACCCATACTCCATCACCCATGCCTCAGCCCTCTTAGGCCACCATCCTGGCTGGGAAAACACGAGAAGCAATGGCAGATAGACACAGGTTTCTGGAGGCAGAGGGCG